AGAACCATTTACCGGATCATCAAGAACTTCAAGGACAGAGGTTCGACTGCAGTGAAAAAGTCTTCAGGACTCCCAGATTGTCCAGCAAGCGCCAGGACCATCTCCTCCTGAGGAGTCAGCTCTGGAATCGTGTCACCAGCAGTGCAGAGCTTGCTCAGGAATGGCAGCAGGTTGGTGTGAGAGCATCTGCAAGCACAGTGAGACGAAGACTTCTGGACAACGGCCTGGTGTCAAGAAGCCACTTCGCTCCAAAAAAAACGTCAAGAATTTCTGGAAAATTGATTGTTCGGAGAAGAAAAGGTGAACGCTATCATGAGTCCTGTGTTTTGCCAACAGTAAAGCTTCCTGAGACCATCCATGGGTGGGGTTGCTTTTCAACCAAGGGAGTGGGCTTTCTCATAATTCTGCCCAAAAACACTGCCAGGAATAAAGAATGGTATCAAAACGTCCTGCAAGAGGGACTTCTTCCAACGATCCATGAGCAATTTGGTGATCCGTGCAAGTGGCTTGACGATCATTACATTGAAATTTTGGATCTGTGGCCAGTCAACTCCCCGGATCTCAATCCCATAGAGAACCTGTGGTCAGTCCTCAAAAGGCGAGCCCACAAATTGTGATCAACTCCAAGAACTATTAAGGCAAGAATGGATCGCCATCAGTCAGGATTTGGCCCAGAAGCTAATATCCAGCATGCCAGAGCGAATTGCAGAGGTTATGAAGAACAAGGGTCGACACTGTAAATATTGACTCATTATGTTTTTTTGCCAATAAAAGCCTTTAAAACTTATGATATGCTTATCATTGTTTTTCAGTATACCATAGAAACATGTGGAAAAATAACCTACAAATACTGAGCAGCAAACTTTGCAAAACAAAAAATGTTGGCCATGACTGTAGTCTTCGCATCCGTCTGAATTTGTGTGTGTGTGTGTGTGTGTGTGTGTGTTTTAAATTGTGCAACAGTTTCCAAGTCATTATCTAGTTAGTAGCGCCCCCTAGCGCAACCATTGCTCCATTACAATAATGGAAGCTGGGTCTCCTAGGGCTCAAGCCTTCAGCATTACCGCCATCATCAGGATCATATCGGAAGTACTTTGCTCCTGCAAAATACTTGTCTCTCTCCTTTTTTTTTGTTTTTTTGTATTGATTGTATAATGCATATAAAAACTAATTTTCAGCTAATTAGATTACATGATTTGTTATATGCACAAATTGCCAGACCTGCTAGGTTTATCATCCTGTTTTATCAACAGGCAGTGAATTTTTTATTAAAAACCTGCCAATGAAAGTGCCATGAAAACTGACACTGACCTTGCTGTGAACCTTTAGCTTTGTTATAGTGTGAAACCTCCAGTGATCCCTGGACTGGTGACCCTGACTCTGCAACACAACAGCCTACTGAAAGCCAATGAGGAGAAGCAGCAGGTAAATGATGAGGATGGTATTTTTCACTCACTCACAGGGTGCCGTTATATTTGCAGTCTGTGGTTTTCACAGTATGAGAGCCACTTCTCAGTAAGGCATGATGGACGCACGCTGTGAGGAGTAGGAGGTGAATGTGACTCAGTATTGATTCTTTGCTCTTGTTTGGGTTGATGTGATGTCTATGTGTGTGTGTGTGTGTTTGTGCATGCATTCAGTTGGTGTGGCTGCTCATTCATCATTTTTTTTTTTTTGGTGTTACTAAGTACACCACAACTAAATTAAATTGAATTAGAGTCACTCTTTTCACACATCACACATACTGACTATATCTTTTGCTCTAATTACTAGCTTTTTGTGAGGTATCAGATGTATTGTATTGTCCAGCACAATGAGTGCCAGCAGTACAAAAAGCTATAGATGGCGACCTTTCTGGTTTGTCTAAATCTAAATATTGCTGAAATTATTAATTGAAGAGTTGAGGCCTGTTGAACACCAAGAACAATAACTATAACAATAACTTGTATATGCACGGTAACATTCTGTTTATTATAAGCATGCTGCAGTTTTGTCCTCTGCCGCTTTAAATGCACAAGTACTTTAAAACAGAATGGATTCTGATTGACTGTCAATGGTTTTATTGTTCATCAGTTGGAAAAATCAGTTGTGGTGTTAACTCTGCTACTCTTTTACATTTAAAATAATCTTTAGAAATACATTTTATATTTACAATCCTTGGTGTGAATAGGCATTTACGCAGGTCATATTATAGAAAAGGAAAAAAAAAGTTGTGTGGTGTTCTGTCCATCAGTTGTTGATTGGATGGAAGCAGATCTCAATGTGAACTTTGGCTGATTGTAAGAAATGGGCTGAGTTTAAGCAGTCTAAATGATTAGAGAAGTCTTGCATACGTCACTAGAAATAAGGCAATTTTAACAGAAGAATAAGTTATGATTAAAATTCATGAGATCCAAAAAAATTACAAATGGAACATGCATGGATGAACTGTTCACAATCAATAAGATGCATTTAGAAAACAAATAGGGTGAATTTCTATTTTGTGCCACTCAGGTTACTCTATGGCAGTGGTTCTCAACCAGATTAGCTTCAAGACCAAGATTTACATTTAAGTGACGAGCCTACAAAACACCAAAAATCGTATCGAACAAAAGTATAATGAATTGTAAATACAAAATTATAACATGACTCAATGGAAACTAGTAATAAAGCTTTAAAGCCACAATGAATTCTAGTCTCACATCTTGTCAGCATTTCTCTGAATCATTCTGTGTCCCTCTAATTTTAAATCTGTATAGCTTTGAAATCTTGGGCATTTCTGAACATGTTGCAGCTGGATCAAACTGAGCTCCTGTTCTGCACTGTTCACCTCAGTGACCTCTTACACAGATCCTTCTAATGTTCCAAGACCTAAATCCCATCCGGCCTGAACTTTATGCACTTGAGGGTTTAAAGATCCCAAAAACCTACTTTCCTATAGGCCTGCCTACTTATTCTCTTCCTCACGGTATCTCAGCTCAGCTCAAAACGGCCTTTTCTGAAGGCACTTTACAAAGCCTATTCACTCGTTTACACCATGGCCGAGCATCCAGGCATACTGCTTAATGTCCAGAGGGGATGAAAATACAGCAGCCTGCCATGGTGTCTCAAACTCTTTGCTCCACTAAACAATAAATCTTCTTCCCGAAGGCCCAGACACGCAGTTTAGTTCCTGTCAGGCAAAGGAGACGATTTGACAGCAGTGTAGTTATTTATATTGTAATTTAGCAGACACTTTCGACTGCAAGTTTATCTGCTACAGAGAATCTCTCCCTGTTGTATCATATTTCAACCCGATCTCAGAAAAGGTGACTATTTTAGAAGCTGGCGATTTAAATTATGATTTTTAGGGGAAAGAAGGATGAAGGTCCACCCCTAAAACTTACCCTCAGAGGGATGCAAGCGGATACAAAGTTTGTATGATCTCATTTATATGTTTTCATATGATCTGCTTTCATCCCATTGAGGGTTAGACCTTCATGTTTTTCCCCCCATGCTTTTTTGTCAATTGTTACGAATTGTTACGAATTCGCCTACAATTGACAGCGTGTTATGCCGAGTTCACACTGCACGATTTTCAAACTCGTCGGATCGCCGTTGTTTTCACACTGCGTGACTATCCGGGGTAGCATTCAGTCGCTGCTGTGTTCACACTGCACGATGGAACGATGACAGGAGGTTACACACTGCATGACTTCACAATAGGAAGAATCGCCAACAGCTCTGTCTGGTCCGCAAACTACATTTCACAACAAAACACACGCAAGAAGGGATAAGGAAATAACGCGAGATCCCGCGTGCGTCAGACCGGAGTTCTCGCGAGCAAGACTATAATTATACAAAAATATATATAGCCCGCAAATTGTCTGTGAGCTGATTTCCAGCTACAAGGAGAAAAAGAAAAACAGATTACGCAGGAGGGAGGGGGTTCTCCTGGTACAATTCACATTCCAGTGCCTAAATATCACGTTATTGGGGTCACTTCAACCTGCTGACATGAAAAACAACCACGGCAATCGCTGATTTGGCAACACTGGTCCGCAAACTACGTTCCATATAACTCATCCCCGAACTTCCCGCTGCCCTGTATCTTGGTCTCTCATTGGCTGTAGGTCATCGCCGATGTAGTTTTCGGTCAGAGCTCATTTCACACAGCGTGATTGTGAATCGCAGACTGCTCCAGATATTTAGCATGCCAAATATTTCGCGGGCGTCGGCGACGCGTCGGTGATTCCCTCAGATCGCGTCTTTGATCATCCACACTGCGTGATTGTCACTGGCGTGAACGAGCACCGATTTGCCTCCGATGTCGGGCATTTGTCGGCGATTTCGCAGAACCTGTCGGCGAGTGAAAAATCGGGCTAAAATCGTGCAGTGTGAACTCGGCATTAAACGTTTTCATGATATCTTGTTTTTCTGATACTTTGTTCTTGTTGTTCTGTTCAAAGATGTTAATTAAAATGACAGAAGCTTAATGTGAGACTAAAACTTGAGTAATTTGCCACAGTGTTACACTGCATTAAATAGGCTTCAAGTGAAATCCGCAATCCGTACTGTAAAACTGTACACCATTTCACATTCTATTTTAAAGAAGGTGTTTGAAACCAGCATTAGCCTACTACCATTAGGCTACTAGAGAAAACAAGTTTGTGTCTAAATGGACTTTTGGTCTCAGGTTATAATAGATAACGGATGAAAATACTCTCTAATAATTCGTTATTTTGGCTGCAGTTTGAACAGAATATCGCTATAGCAGCTATACTTCAAACGCACAGTTGGCTGTTCTTTCCTCACATCAGCAGTCACGCGCCCTGTCCGTTGCTGCACATTAATTATTCCCACGGTCTCCAGATATTAATGCGTTTTTTTCGCGGTGCCCGCTGTTTTAATGCGTTTTCCTTGTTTCTAACAAATAATTCACTGTCTCGGGCGCGTGATGCACCGCAAATTGAAAGAAGGCGCGAAAGAGTTCTTGAGTCAGGTGCACACACCTCCTCCGGCAAAAACTACGCACTCAGCTCTGTCTGCCTGAGACTGAATCGTTTAGGCTCACGGAGGGGATAGGCGCATAACCTCAACGCGACAGCACGTTCAGCTCCTTGGTATTAACAAGGAAGACACGCGAAGGACCCAGCATCCATGAGCTGTCGTGTCCAGTGACCCGCTGGCGATGGGATCTGACCGGCATACTGATCCGCTCCGCCAGCAGCGTCGTCAGCACCGGAGAGCGCGACAGACGCAAGAACGCCTCGCGCGCCACTTTGGTTTTTGTTAGAGGTGCTTGTTTTTTTTTTTGCGTTTGTAGTATTTTGATGTTGGTCGCGTCGTCGCGCATGCGTTGCTGTGTAGTTGAATTTTCTGGAGCGCTTCTTCAGACTAAGTTTGGGCTGCTGCTTCTCGGTCGATGATGAGAGGGATGCTGATCGCTCGGGATCACTGGCGCGCGTGGATCTTGTGTCTCCTTGTGCTCGTGGCTTTGACGGTGGGTCGTAGTCCGCCAGCGCACAGGTAAGACATAACGTGCTTGTGTGTTATCACAGTCTGCCTGCATTCTCTGCGGAGCCATGTTAAACCAGCCTAAGATGGTTTGCTGGGCTTAGCTGGTCTCCCAGCCTATTGGCTGGTTTCAGAGAGGTTTGGGCACTTTTCAGACGGTCAGGCTGAAAACCAGATGAGCATGAGCTTGGCTAGGCTGAGGAACTAGCTAGACCAGCTTAGCCAGGCTGGTAGACCAGCTTGGTTTAAACCATTTTAAACCATTACTGCACTGACTATTGTTCAAGTCATGGTTTCTTTGAGTCACAGTTTCTCAGATATCACACTACTCTTCCACAGTGTAAACGAACCAAGCAACATGTCATATGTCAAAGTCACTGTGGATAAACTACTCAAAGGCTACGACATCCGTCTCAGGCCTGACTTCGGAGGTAAAGGCGTTATATTGATTTAAAACACTTTTCCATTCTCACTGATGGATGTGACCATTTTGATGGATCATTGACTGTCATCAGGCCATGTTGGAGAGATTGTGGTGTCTGTTTGCTTTGCAGGTCCTCCGGTTGATGTCAATATGAGTATTGACATCGCCAGTATCGACATGGTGTCGGAAGTGAACATGGTGAGTCTACAGGCTACTCTGATTGTTTAATAGATGGTGGGCTATTAAGGAAGGGGACATCTCTGTCAACACTACCTATTAAGGCTGCAGTGATGAATAAAGTGGGAGAACAGACTAGAGTCCACTGTTGTAGTCCACTCAGGAAAGAGCTACAGGCTACTGTTTTCTCTCCTGCTCACATATACACAAGCACAGCTGACTGAGATTAGAGAGACATTGTGTTCATTTTGCATTATGATTGTTTTGGCATTGGAACTGAACTGACATAAGCCTTTACTCTGACTCAGCATAGAAGGACAAAATAAGCAATTTTGTGAGGAACATGCACACAAGACCCCATATATGCACACCCACAGGTTGGAGTAGGTTGATGCTAAAACACAACAGTGATTTTAATGCCACACTGAAATAGAAGTAAATATGATTTTAATGAAGATGGTCATGATGGTCAGTGGTTCGTAGGATGTGTAATTAGCTTAAATTTATTTGCCCATGTCCAATGAGTATGCTGTATATGCATTTCTCAACCTTTTTGACTTCTTTGCTCAATATTCAAAGGACACAATATTCAAAGAATCTTCCAAGAGCAAAGCAAATTATTGTAGGATCACAAACAAGCAGAGCCGAAAATCAAGTGTGGGTAATCTACTATCAATACAGGTGCAAAATGGGTTAAGATATTTTTTAGGGGTGTTAAATAATGGTGCAAATACAAGTAAACTGACTACTACAAATCTTGCGGCATTCATTTAACCTTGCGGGATTCATTTAAATACTCTCCTCCCATAAATTTTGTATCTGAAAGAGAAGCTTGTACAAATGCATATGCAGTAAGTTTAGCCTTTTCATTGCTAATGTTTCATTGCATGTCTTTAGTTTTTAGCAGCAAAAGAGGGTTTGCGCTGGCACAATCTGTTAGTAACTCTGGCCCTAGGAAAGTTGATAAAAATAATTAACCACAATCAAGACTCCATAAGAGCAAAGATTCTACTTCGGTATGCTCTTCAATTAAAAAAAAATATTGAGGGAAAAAATAAATAATTTTTCAATCTACATATGAATTTCTTTGTGAATTAATTTTTAATATAATGTGATTAATTAATCCTGTGACCTCTTTGGGAGTTCTGAAGGCCCCCAGCGGGCCCCAGTCCCCTGTTTGAGAACAACTGCTACAGAGGACATGTGAGCTCTCTTTTATCTCCCAGACGATCGTCCTGAACTGGAGATTAATGCAGATAATTTTCTTTTCAAAATGATAAGAGAGTAGTAGAATAACAGTAAAATGTGTTCTGAAATAAACTTCAGGTGTAGCCACTCTGAAGGCTGATGCATTCTGGGCGTTTTCTAGGATACTTCAGGTCTAAGGTTGAGGTTGTCACTTTTGTTATGACAAGGTGTCACTTTGGCCACACTGGAAAAAGCTTTTTTTTTTGTGAATTATGGATAGTGGGCCTGAACAAAAGCCATTTCTGTGGTGGTTTGTCATGCATTAATTATTTTCTGGGAGGACACATGACGGTGGGAGTTAGTGAGGCGCAGCAGAGAGATACTTAGCGTTTGCAGCAGCTGCTTCAGGACTCACTGTGTCTAGAAATTCAGTTTCTCTTAAAGGGGTCATATGATGCGATTTCAAGTTTTCCTTTCTCTTTGGAGTGTTACAAGCTGATTGTGCATAGATAAGATCCCTGAAGTTGCAAAGACTAAAGTCTCAAAACCAAAGAGATATTCTTTATCAAAGTTAAGACTCTGCCACGCCCCCCTAAAACGGCTCATTCTAACACGCCCCCACATATCTACCCCACTATGTGGAAATATTTGCATAATCCCGCCGCAAATGTGCACGCAAAGAAAGAAGGCATGGTGTCAGTAACCTAATGACATTATTTACTGGCTTTACATTTATTTTGGAAGATGAAGCTTGCGATTATGGTAAGGGGCGTTACATTTCCGACGAGTGCTTGCGGTGTTCGGCCAATCACAATGCACTGGGTCAGCTGGCCAATCAGAGCAGACTGCGCTTGTCGGAAGGAGGGACTTTGTAGAAAACGAAGCGTTTGAAAGAGGCGGGGCATAGAGGACCTACAATAATGTACAGTAAATGTGTTTTTTTAACATTAAAGCATGTCAACATATTCTGTTACACCAAATACACAAAATAATGACCTTTAAAAAAGCATCATATGACCCCTTTAAAATATACATTTAAATAAAATCTAAAATGGTCAGAATAAATGTACAGTATATAGGAATACCACCTGGAGCTGTTTATGTCATTTGTGGCAAAGTCAGCGTACAAGAAACCGTCCCAAACGTTATTGTGGAGTTATAATGTAGAGTTGATTACATTCACTGTTGAAAGGGCAGAAGGAATCAAAGAACTTGTGTATATTAAAGTGTTCTTATGCACTGTTTTGAAGTTCTTTATCTCATCAGTTTCTTATGATTGCTTTTTATGCCGGTCAGTGGTGAATTTCACAAGAATTCATTTAAATGTGTTTGAATGTGATGTGAGCAAAAGTCAAGTTTGGTGAGGTAGTTGCTGTCATTTTTGTGGAGTATCTGCAGAGACTAGCATTAAAACGGTGTAGCTTTCAACAATTTGTTGTGATTTTAGAGAGGTAGGCTGAAAAAAAATGTGATTCAAAATAAGATTCAGCATCTTAATGGTTATATTATTTAAAATCACTGGATCAACATAAATAAACCTACAAAACAATTTTAAAGGTTCAGTCAGGTAGAAACAGAAATTTCAGGTTAACACTTTTCCAGTGTAGCCTACCATATTATTTTTAATTTACCATGTCTCTTACTGATTATTGGTTGAAATTATATATATTTGCAGATATTGGATAATTAATTAGGCCGACCTCATTTTAAAATCTAGATTACCTTTCATGTTATGCTCACTTAAACTGTAGAAACTCTAATAGTTCAGTAATACTATTTTTTTCTGAATATTATAATTTGATGCCTGAATTCACGTACCATTTTTGTAAGCGAATAAGCATAGAAATTGAATAACAGTGATGTATTGGTTAGCATCCATTAAATGAAAATAATTATCAGCTCATTGCTATCGGCCAGAATTTTAATATCAGTGCATCCCTTTAGAAAATCACATATTGAACACTATTTGCCTCGCTGCAAACTCTCTCATCCCATTTTCTCCTGTTTGTTTGCTTGAAATGAAGACGCACATACACTTCGCCATGATTTTCAAAACACTGCATGATTGAAGCGTGAGATATCGACAGATGTGTTTTCTTTTTCTTTGCTTTTTATAGCACAGAAAATCAAAGGTTCAGAGAGCACTGCAATCCTTAGCACAAGAACAGAAAGGTGATTTGGCGGAGAAGTGAGAAAAAGCAGAATTTAAATAGCCAATTTGGAAACTGCGTTAAACTAAAAGATAATCTACTGCAGCTCCCATAAGGATATTGCAGAAGGTCAGCTGTTCTCAGTGCTGTCAAAGCTTCATAGCCAGCTCTTGTACGCTCCTGCATTGATTGTTAATGTACACTGCTGGTTACCTCAGTTGCCCTTGCTCACCACATCGTGACTGCAGTGTGAGGATACATGTTAAGTTTGCAGTAAAAGATGCTCGATGTGAAAAGTGGACTCTTGGCTGCAGTCTGATCACATTCTAGGACTTATTGTAAATGATTAATCAGTGCATTATATTCTCAAAGAAAAAATGAGTATTATAACAACAAATAAAATTGTTTAATCTTTCCTTTTCTGACGTCACTTAGACGATGCAAGCTAATGCTCAGTTAACAAAAATATGTTCATTTTGCTAACATTCCCATTAAGTGATGAAAATGTTATTTCTGAATGTTTAAAAAAATAATAATAATTTCTTGGTTACTTGAATGTTAGAGAAAACATCAGGATTAGTTCACTTCCAGAATAAAATATTTCTGATAATTTACTCACCCCCACAAAAATGACCAAAGAGTTTCTATATTTTTCCTATTTAAAACTTGACTCTTCTGTAGTTACTCTTTGGTCATTTTTGAGCGAGATGCTAACGGTCTAATCAGATTCAATGATCTATGCTAAACTACAGCTAAAAGTGCTACCGCCAGACCCGGAGATCGGCTGAATGGATTCGAAAACGGTAAAACTCAACTGTTTAAACTCTAGGGGAGTTGGAAAATGAGCCTATTTTCAAAAATAGTGGAGTGTTCCTTTAAAGACCAGATAACTTTGAACAAACTTTCCATCAACATTAGTGGAAGAACATCTGAGACCCTTGGCAGTACGTTGGCCAATGTTCTAAGAACATTCTTTGTTAGCTGGGTGGATACTGTTAACCAAAAACCAAATGACCTGATAATTGATTTACTTGCATTTGGTCTAGCTTCATTCTAGTTAGGGCTGTGTGTATCTATGCAATCATATATCAATATGCATTTCTTTTTCTCACCATATTGCATTTATATCAATTCCTACACTAAAAAGGGTTTTTCAAAGTAAATTAAAAGATTATTGGAGTATATTTTACAATAAAACACTATTTCAGTCTTAATCTGTACTTAAAACTTTCATGTTTAATTCATTGTGCTATTTGCCATTACTTTGTCATTATTTATTAAATTTACCAGCAATTTCTGAGTGAAATTGTTTTTCTTAAGTATGCTGTTCAATTAATAAAAAGCAGTTGCCTAAATAAACAAAGTCTGAATTCACATTGACTTTAATTCTGCAGCAACCTGCACCAAACCAAAGCAGATTGTTTTGCAGTGATTTCCTTTCCAGCTGTCCGTGTCCTCAGTCTCATAGTTTCTTTTTTCTTTCTTTTTCTTTTTCAATTTTTGTTCTTTTATTCGCTACTTTTAATCCTGTTGTGTTCCTCTCAAGTGAGTATCTCTCTCAGCCTCTATTCTTCTGTTCCTCTGATGTCTTCAGTGTGATGGGCACAGTGAAATGAGTTCATTTTAGACCGCACTGTCAGAGCTGTGTTACAGTAAATATGGCCTCCATTGTGTGTACATGTG